AAAAATATTGTTCTCTTCGCTGCTTTCTCGTTTTTTTCTTTATATTTCTTTTATACATTGACTCTGAAACTGGATAAATCGTCACCTTCGCGCCGCGCGAAGTTTCAAAATTTCCGCCGCCATTTAATTTTTTACAGAGATATTGTAAGTTGAACCTGTTTGAGAATTTCACTGAATTTTATCAGCTGCACGAAGAAAATTCGGTGAAATTTTCGGACAGCTTCGTTGAACAATTTCTCTGTAAAAAATAAAATGGCAAAAAAAGGGAAATTTTTATACGTCGCTTGGTGCTTATGATACTTTGGCCGGAAGGTGACGAAATATTCTTTGTCGGGAATTCTGAGGATGTATTGAAAACTGTGGAATTTTTAGGCACACTTAAACATATTCCACAAAATTCAGGGTACGTTTGATGTGTTGCAGGATTTAATCTCCTCACGCACCTAACTAGTGAGTATTTTCATGAAAGAAGTATAGAATGCGTTGAGTAAACTCGATGAGAATTTTGAACCTCAGCTGCACTGGAAAAAAAAAAAAACACATTGGATCTAGAGTCCAGACTCTTAAAAACATCGACAAGAAAAAGTACTCTTGATTCAATCAGAATCTAGCTTAAATCAAGAACCAAGCCTCTTAATTTAAGCGAATTTCGTTTTGATTCAAGCAAAATTCCGATTGAATCAAGAGTATTTTTTCTTATCAATGTTTTCAAGAGTCTGGACTCTAGATCCAATGTGTTTTTTTTCCAGTGTAAGAAAAAGTACGCTCACTCTTCGCCAAAAATTATCAGAAATAAGGATCGTAAAATATTACACCATTTTCTTTCATTTCAACGTTTTTTACTGCTGAGGATTAAACGAGGTAGTGTAGAGATGATCGGGACTTTTTGGGCCACGTGCCGCTTGAACGAATTGAACGTATTTCTGCAAAACGGAAATACGCGCATTAAGATATGAGCCCTGAGACCCATAAGAATATATGCATGACAGGGTTCAAGTCATAATGCACATAGTTCCGTTCGGCAAAAATACGCCCAATTAAGTGATAATTAAACACTAACATCAACCGCAATGCCTCCAACTTCTTTACACATCATTAAATCTGTCACGTTTTGAGTCGCGCATATGTTAACTTAAATATTTAGTATATAACACACTCCCACACTCGCATGTTCTGTAATGGGCTCCATCAAATTTGGANAGGAAAAAAAAAAAAAAAAAAAAAAAAACGAGCTGCTGACGTCCGATAGCCACAAGGTCTATTATCCTTCTCCTATACGATTTTTAATTTAATGTTACCCGAGTCTGTTTAATAGGAAATAATTGAACTTCTATAGAGATGACTAGGTGTAAATATCAAGACTTTCAACGGTATAATTGAGTATGAGTGGCAGTTTTAATAATTAAAACCTCTGCGTGAAGCATCAAGACGAAGCCTATGAAAGTATTCTATTGGAGAGAAAACCTCTCAAACCCAAAAAATCTCTCGCAAAACTATGCTAATGCTCATCGATAAAAGATTTGTTTTGGCAATCGTAACATCGAAGCAACCTGATCAACGAAAAGTATCTTATCATCCTCCATCAAACATCCAATACGAAGACAATTGACACCATTCAGATCTCCTTCTTTCCCTGCTACCAACCTTGGCCCACATTATTTCAGATTCATCGCTCGTAACAAACGAACTCTCTTCGCGAAATCTCCACGGATCACCGCCAATTTTATTCGAAATTATCTGATCCCAGAGAACCCCCTTCAGAATGCGATAGCTTCCTTTCCTTGCAAATTGAGATCCTGATGGCTTTATAAAATTTTCTATATTGAGGCTGCCAAACTTCGAAGTGTTGACACTTTTCACACCAGTTGTTGTCCCGGCCATCACAGATAAATGATAAATCTGACAATCACATACAGGGTTATTCAAAAGCCACGCACTACTGGCCATAACTTTAGTTCTAATTAAGATATTCTGCGGTTTGTGACGTTTTTCCTCATCTTGAGAGGGAAACTTTTTTATAGGTACTTTCCGGTTTTTGACTCCCTCAGGGGGAGGGGGAGGGGTGCAACTCAAAAATTTCAGATGGCCATCCCCCCCCCCTCATGGCCAGTGGTACGTGACTTTTGAATAAGCTCAGAAAAAATGCACGAGTTTCTCAAAACTGGATTTATCAATACAGTTTCGCGCATGTAGACGCGTTCAACTCACCCGCATGTAAGTATCTAGAATGCAATCGGTTGCAATTGCTCTTTCACTCTCTCCCCTCTTCCTAACTTTCACATGCGCTGAACTTTTAGTGCATTTGATAATGGTATAAAAAATATGGAAGCGAACGCATCCCCGAATCAAAGAGATGGGCAAAAATTAAGGTGACGCGAGAATTACACTGCCGTGTAACGTAAGGAAGAACGCCGTATGAACCTTCAGGCGTTGTCATATTTCCTTCAATATAAAACGAATTATGGGAAAAATCGAGAATATTTTTCATAGAATTTTTCAGACAATTTTATTCGCACTTTGATCTAAAATATCTGAAAATTTCAAAGAAAAATATGCATAACTTTCCTCAAAAATTCATGTTGTATCCGAGGCAATTTGGCAACTATCGAATGTTCATACGGCGTTTTTCCTCAGCACGGCAGTACAGGTTAAAATGATGACGGAACAATTTAAATCCATTCTGGCAGAAAGTTCGAGCGCACTCGGTGAAAACAGCAGGAAACATAAGTTAAAAAGCAAATGATAAGCGAAACAAGAGATAATTTCTTTTTTACACGATGGAAAGATATAGCTGTCAGCTCACTTTGAGATGAAGAGAACAGGTGTACAAGTTGCTTTGAATATGATGCACGAGTCTGATCTGGGCACTTTAGAGGTTAAATTCAATACGACCCTCTGGTCTTCGTTAAACTACTACATTTGAGCGATTAAGCAGGCATAGTTTGAACAGCGGACTAGATTTTGGCACACGCCTTGAATATTTGCTTGTGCTTGAATATGAATATACAAATAAAAATAATATTGTATCTAATAATATGTCTTTTCAACATAAGACTCGAAATCTACCTTGTGCTTGCCAATGATTTCTCATTTTTGAAATAAATATAAGATTTTTTTTCCCCTTGAAGAGTTGCTAAAATTTACTCTGAACTCAATAGATACTAGGGGAAATTATGATAATAGGACTACGTTATAGTAGTTTAATTTTCTTTTTTCGCATGAGATTACAAGCTTTTGAACTGAGGAAAAAGATAAGGCAACGATTGGGAAAAGAAAGAAGAAAAAAATTTGAATGTCAAGGCCGGTCGTTCAATTCTCTATGTTATTGATTTTACAGCAATTTTCCGTGTTTATTCAGTCGTGCAATTTAGCAAAATTTAAAAAAAAAAGAAAAAAAAAAGAAAAAGAAAAAGAAAAAGGATTGATGAGAAGAGCCATTCAAAAATAGGCTGGCAATTTGATCAAAATTTTTAGTTAGGTCGGATTGATTGGGCAGGCAACGTACTTGAACTTTTTTCGGGCTGGCAAATTCAATTTTGACGGAACCGCGACGTTACGAATTTGAATAAAATGCACAAAAACAGATGCGTACTCTCCCATAAAAATATAAAAACTATAGGCAATTTTTTAATTGCATAATCTGAGACATGTTGCGAATCACTGGACGTTTTATGACTATTCATTTTCCTAATTTCTTCCACATGTATTCATGATGCAACTTATACACAAAACTTCATCAAGACTTATAACTTCCAATTTTTATCACTGATGCTGGTCCTTTTTCACACGCCGTCGTGAAAATAATTCGAACTAGGGATTATCATTTGAACTTGAACGCAGAAAAAAGAAGAGGAAATATAATCAAATTATGGCATAGAACCGATTAACAAAATCGTGAGCAGGCCGATACGAAAATAAACCAATTAACTTGAAAATAAAATTCCTGATGTGATGCTTCTCATATTCAAAGGTTTACCCACCACGTGGATGAACTAATAAATGCACGACAAACTTCAAGTTCAACTTTCAATTACTCATAATTAAGTAAGTTCATGTTAAGTAACCAAAATTACCTTGATGTTAAAATATTCTGAGTATTGACATTAACTGTTAACTCTGTATTTACTTCTCAAGTCCTGTAGTTGAAAATTTCAACATTTGAGTCTACGCTCTATACTTTCCAAAAACTACAACATTCTACACAAAGGTCGAGATAAAAACAATCTAAAAGAAGAGCCATGCTGAAAATGCCCAGGCCTATGTAAGGGAATAAATTAAAAAACTTTAAAATTAGATGATGAAAAAGACGGAGAATGATTTAAAATTCTAAAAGAGAAAACATCTACTTCGTTGGATGAAATTGGAGAAATGAAGCAAAGCAGGAACACCCCTCGTTAAAATTTAGAGAAAAAATTAAAATTTAGAGACAAGGTAATAGAGAATTATAACTGAGGGATGATGGACCTCGGTGTTAGTAGATGCAAAATCTGAAAAATGAGATCAGAAGTATTACTGCGGGATGATAGACCACGTGTTAGTGAAAGAAAACTTTGGAAAATATGAAAGTAAGTATTTCTGCCCCGGACACACTTGGAAGAAAGGAGAGGGAGGGTGTGACAGAATAGGCAAAACTAATTTTTGGGGGCTAGAAAAATAAAATTCCATAATTTTTTTTAAAATAAATTAAGAGCACAGACACGCACAAAAAGATACGCCCAAATCAACATAAAACTTTCAAAAAAAAAAGTAAATGAATGAACCAAGGGGGGGAAAATCAAACAGAAAATGTAACTATAAGTTAAAATTCTAACTTCAAGGCTGCAAATTTTTTAACAAACACCACAAACCGAACACCGAAAAAGATGAGTTAAAAAAGCACAAAAACAGGGATGAAAATACCAGCAGAGCAAATTCGCATACCACACGATGAGAAACGGGAGAGGCCAACTGAAAACCGAAAAAAATGAGTATAAAAAGCACAAAAACAGGGATGAAAATACCAGCAGAGCAAATTCGCATACCACACGATGAGAAACGGGAGAGGGCGTGTGGGGAGGGGGTGGGAGTGCGATACGTCGTTTTCCAGAAAATGAGAGGGATGAAAAACCGCACGTGAGCACTAACTTCCGCGTGTGATGAAGAGCTTTGAGAACGCACAACTGGTTGAGAGATGAGAGCGCTCTTGATAAATTCACTCGACCGTAGCTACCGTAAAAGATAAAAATATTTAGAAATGCCTTTAACAATGCTACTTGTAGCATCCAAAATTAGGTGGGAAGCAAGAAGGGGTGGCAGACGAAGTAAGACGTTAACGATTATGAGTTAAGAAATCTAGGTGTTCTTACTCTGTCCTCGCATTATCCATCCCAACAATCAAAATCTTCAGATTTGCGCCCGGCACTTTCTTTCGACACGATGGGAATTCAGATAGTTAAAGGTATTTGTTTTCATTTGTGCCGTGTGCAATATTCATGTAAAGGATAGAAATCTTCCGCTGCGTTGAAAGATATCTTTCTAGTCACCCTGGGCTGGATTCGGAGCTTTCTTCGATAGGTCACCACCGCAATTGCGTGATTATATGTAAGGAGAGCCCTGACAATTATTTTTCGGGAAAAACTCCTTGCTGAAAACTTTCTGTGCAATTTTTATTTTTTGTCAACAGTCTCATTGCTTTGTTATGTTAATCTTACGATGATGACAGAATGGAATGGCTGCATGCAAAAAGGACCTCTTCGCCATAAAATGCTGCAAAAATTTGCAACTTTGGAGACATATTGTATACTTAACAACCCGATTAACCTTGAGATATTTCGACCCCTAGATATTCTTTTTTCAAGAATATTTGTGGGGGAAATAATTTCAAGGCAAATAATTGGACCCCTACGATAGTGAAGAGAGGTATCATGATCTTTGCAACATATTTCATGACATAAAGGTCTTCTTTTCGTCAAACATTTCTATTCTATCGTCGTACTGAAATGTACATGTTCATGAGCTACCTTAGTAATTTTTCGATGCATTATGGCGATAAAGCAAAACCTGCTTATGTACAATGTACATCTCCACAAAAATAAAATATGAAAAATTGCATAGAAATTGTTCAGCAAAGAGTACTTTTTCGGGAAAAATTTGTCAAATGACACCTTGGGATCTTCGTACCTATTTATGATTTTCCTTCCCTTTATTTGTTCTTCTTAGCTAAGTAAGAAGGGGGTCTTAAAATGCTTTCAGAGCATGAAAAACTGACAAAAGCGAAAAAGTAAATGACAATTAGTAAACTACTTTATTCTAGGGCTATGCGCACTACAAACTAAGGAAGGAGCTATATCAGTATGAGGAAACTGGGAAAAAACTTGCAAGTAAATAATTATCATTGCGATTAGTTTTCGATGATGAATGCAGGTTGAGAAAAGCAAGAGAGCGAGTTCCATGATTTCCGTTATCGTCGATTTCTAGAAAAAAACACATCGGCCACACGTTTCTGCGCTCAAAAGGTGCAATACTCATCGTGAGATGTTTTCAACCAATTAAAAGCAGAAGTGCAGAGTTGGCAACTCTGGATATTGACCATTAAAGTGCATAGAGAGCAATCGATTTTAGGTGAGACATATCTCAATATTTGGATAGAATGGATTTGAATTGAGGAAAAACGGTGTTGCCAATTTGTAAGAATCGCCACTGAAAGGTTTTAAGCAGCGACTAATAATAAGATATAGATTTCTCAACAGTACACATCAAAATATGCTGCCCAGTGTATCATTGGGGAAAAAAAATCCGAGATCAATACATTAACCACAGCAAATTAAATTTAAAAAATAAAAAATAAAAAAAACGAAAAAGATGGGGCAAAATTGAAGCGACGTAAGTACCTAAGCTTCTAATTTCTACGGGTGATCAGTATTTTCTCTGTTGCGAATCTAAACTACTTTAAATACTAAGCAGTGCGTCCAAAAAGGTACTTACGTTTCCTTGGATCTCAAAAGTGTTCTCATATACCTATCGACGATTTATCTACGACTACATAAAATAGTAGTAAATCTACACACTTGGGGGAAATATTTACCAATAACTATCACTGCGAACAATTGAATGTTTAAGTTCCTTCAAGGTCGTTGTGGCTTTTGACATGCTATTTCGCTTCGATTGGAACCAACTATCTTCACATGCAAAATTAAAGAAAAAGTAGTATGATAGAACAAGGAATTTAGAGACAACGAGATGTTCAACAGATTTACGATTGGCTAAAAATGATCTTCTATGAAATTCATAATTGTGCCTGTATTTGATGCGAAGGGAGGGCTGTCGTACAGCCTTGACAGGGATGTTCATAACTCGCATAGAGACTGTTGTACTGTTTATATAGGGCATTTAAAAAAACCGAAAAACAATTAAAAACATACAAAAAAATATTTTCAACGCCGTCTTCCAATGACGAATATGACACCTACTTAGGAGGGAGGGCAGTGTGTGAAAGGGCCTGAATTGTGCCAAAAACTTCCTCAGGGCTACATGACGTGGGGAGAGCACTGGGGATTTTAAAATCTTTAAAAATGCACGTGAAGTCATTCATAGATGCTCCCTCACTCCTTTCAAGTTTCTTCTTTTTCTCTGTTGTACAGCGATTTTAAACTGAATAAAAATAAAAAGAAACTCGAAAGGATAGATGTGCTTAATGGGAATTTTCCATAAGTTTTCCAAGGCATATAATCTATGCAACATGAAGGGCAGATTTATCCCATGTACCCACAATACTTATAGGACAAAACTCAGCGCTGGATGAAATAATAAGAGCTATGCCGATAGTTCTGGGTGATTTCCATCGACTTAGTAACGATCATATAATTGGGCCGTTTATTTTTAAAAAGAGCCAAATCACCAAGCTCTTTTTGCTCTCAGTTTTCTTAACCTTTCATGATGCCTGAGGATTTTAATTAGATGTCAATACTAAGGCCCTCTCGTAAGAAACGGTTCAATTAAGATCAGAGATTAACTCCTCACAGGTCAGATTAAATGCAGAATAATAAAAAATACTTGCTTTACTTGTCTCAAATTGATAGTTCTTAAAGCCCCTAGTATGTTTTATTATTGCAAAGAAAAAATTTTGATCACTAGGTACATCCTGTCCCTCTACACATAGCGTACTTTTCCTATGCGATAGTGAGAAGTTTCCATGAACACTTTTGGCTAGTTTTCTTTTGAGTACCTACTCAAAGGAAAAGAAAATAGAAACATTATAATTATCGGCCAGATTCGAAACACCGAAATTGAGGGGTCCTTTGCAGTCAAAATACTAGTTTTAAAGATAAGACCAAAGATTAGAGAAAATTTAAATAAACTCTTGGAATCGGGCTTTGAATTTCTTCTCTTCAATTGAGGATTTAATTGCTAAAAGGTCCTATTCAAGGATTGCTTGCAATTTGTCTGAAATTTTGTAGGTCGAAATGCCAAAACACGTATCTCCACTGCGGCGTTCCAAAATTTCCACTACTATTTTATTTTTTGGAAAAAGAAACAAGCCATAACTTCATAGCTTGAAAAAGCTTCATAGATAAGAAAAATCAGGGGAGTTTTCAACATATTACGTTGACTAACGTTTTCAACAAAAAAAATCAGTCGAAGGCTACGCCACGAACGCAGATGCATGGTTACGCACTTCGGTCATCGATATGTACCATTTGCAGAAAAATCAATTAAAATACAAATAAACTCACTGAAAAATAGGGTTATTTTGGGGGAAATGCGCATACAAGAATAACATAGCTTTAGAATAATGCTGGGTACACACTATTCTAACTAGAGTATTCTGGAATAGTTGGCTCTGGCTGCGATAGAAATAGAGTAATTCTAGCTAATATTTTAGGTAAATAGCACTATCTCAGAGACCTAAGTTGCAACCTTAGCAGAATTTCAAGCCTTACAGGTCCTCTTACTGGGAAATGTCCTCAACTTAAATCCCTTTCACACTCTAAGTATTCCGAAGTTCCACAGAGAGATTTGACAATGTGGCGATTCTTAATGAAAAAGAGCGAGATGGAACCGAAAACGAGCGAGCTGATACCCAACTTCTCCACACGGCACTACGAAAAAAGTTGACAGGCAGCAGTTCGCACATCGCTGGGGCACGCAATGATCCAGGTGATACCTCTCAACGTAAGTACGGTTATTTCTTGGGACATGTCCCCGTCCAATAAGAACTGATCCCCGCTAAGCTTCCTGGTTAGAATTTTTCTTGGTGAGTGATTAACAGCTTTCACTGCGTCAACCCCTTCGATTGGACGTATTTATGCTGAAAGGAACTACGTGCCTAGAGTTCGCGTAAATTTAGCATAGATACGTCAAATTTTTGTGCCGTTTAGTTCTGAGAGAAACTTTCATCATCGTTAAATTCATTGCTCATCTCAATACCATGGCAAATACACGATTAGTTCTTCGGTTTTGTGATGAAATTAAAAAATACGCGTTTACACCCTTAATATTGCGGTATTTTTCCAGCGGTATGTAATAACATAAAAAATCAACTGTTTTGTACGTCAATATCGCGGCAAATTCACGATTTTTCCAACTGTTTTGTAGGTATCGACTCATATTCCCATTAGTTTTGTGGCATTCATGAATATCAGAAAACTAAGACAGGCGAAAAGCTAAAATTTTCCTTCATTGTCGTGTAATAGTTGCGCGCTTGATTTCCACACTTCACGATGCGAGCATATGATACCTACGTTTTTAAACGTCAGTATTAAAACCATAAAAAATTACTTATGTGTTTTGGGCGTCAATATCGCGGCAAACACACGATTTTCCCAGCTGTTATGTAGGTATTAACTCATTTTCTCATTAATTTCGAGGCATTCATGAATATCAGCAAACTAATTGTAAGACAGGCGACAAGCTAAGATTTTCCTTCATTTTCGTGTGATACCACATACCTACTCCGGAGTTCGAATAGTTGCGCGCTTGATTTCCACACTTTACGATGCGAGCATATGATACTTACATTTGTAAACGTCAGTGTTAAAAACATAAAAAATTATGTGTTTTGTGCGTCAATATCGCGGCAAACACACGATTTTTCCAGCTGTTGTGTAGGTATTAACTCATTTTCTCATGAATATCAGAAAACTGAGACGGGCAAAAAGCTAAGATTTTCCTTCATTTTCGCGTGATACCACATGACTACTCCGGAGTTCGAATAGTTGCGCGCTTGGTGTCCGCTTGGACCTGTGTTGATTTTCAAAACGTTTATATGCAAGTTTCCGTGAACATTAAAAAAATACGCCATTTTTTCAGCGGTTTTATGAAACTTATAAATTATGCGTGACTTCCATCTCATTATCTCGGCAAACACGTGATTTATCCAGCGGTTGTGTAAAAAATTTAGAAATCACGCGTTGGTCATCTCAATATCGCGGCAAATATGCGACATATTCGGCAGTTTTGTAGAAAAATATATGCTAAAAAGAAAGATATACGCGAAATGTTCAATTTCGCGTATATCAACTCACTGTCACGGCACATACGCGATTTTTCCAGCGCTTTTGTAAAAAAATAATAATAATTTAAAAAAAAAAACCATTTTCCAGTTTTCACGCATTTCATCATACCTATTAAGAGTATTTCAACCCCAAAGTGCATCCATCTCTCCTAACCATTTTTGGGTGAGAGCTTGCAGTTGTTTGTTGGTCCACTCACTTAGTAACCCCCCCCCCTTTTAAGTCCATTGGAAGGGGAAGAATACAAATGGCTATTATCACTGCCTTCCACGCACTGATGTGCGTACATTTGGAATGCTGATGTCCTAACCCCACATGTCACTTGCAAAACTATGTTTTTTCAGAGGAAGTGTTGCAACCTCCCTTCTGAAGTCCCCTCTGCCTACAGAAAACCCATCTAATCCTAGCAACTAATGGTATCTTTGGTGAACATTGCTTTTTCTAATCCAACAGAAAGGATAATCTCAACAGTAGAGAAACATTAACTTTTTCAATGTTAGTGAAACAATAACTTTCGATCAATTTCTGCTCTTGTGATGAATAAAAAATTAAGTACACTGAGAGAAGAAAAAACTTCATAACACAGGGGGCATCATCGAGAGAGTAGAAGTCAGTGGAGAAGTTGATGAATTGGTGCAACATCAAAAATAAGGATTAAATACTACATACTTAACTTGTAATGGGTGTACTTTGAAAAAAGAGCACAGAGAGAATTCTGATTTTAAAATACTGAAATTGCAAGTATAAAGTCAAGATAATAGGAACCTCCATGTCCTCTCAATAATTTGAAATGGCGAACAAAAAGAACATACAATTGACACAGATACTGTTTTTTTCAGAGAATTCATTCCTGCCTGAATGTCGCAAAATTTGATTTCCTACGCGCAGAGACCTTCAGTGCTACTTCTTATGACCATTTATTTCCCTAGATGCTCTTTGGATTTTAATGGCCTCACTATATACAGCACCAATGAGTTTGAACTGTGCGGTGAACAATGGTCTATCTACCTACCCACTACTTCCTCAGGAAAACCACATAAGCTATAAACATTCTGATATTGATCACTGAAAATACTAGACCAAGAATAAAAAAACACTCATAGATTTGCGGTTGAAAGGACCTACTTAAGGAGTGACAGCATGGTTGATGTTAAAAATTTAAGAACTTAAGGCGGAAAAGTAGAAGAGAAATTCTAAACGAAATGAATGAACAAAAGGAAAGATTTGAAACTTCTATCTTACTTGTCAAATTCAGGTGCAGAGGCAGAGACAGGACATGTATACGTGTATTTACTATGACACTGGCAGCAGATGGTGTTTCCTCTTTTGCAGGTCTTGATGGTTTTCACAGGTTTGGGGATTGAAATACCGACTCCAGGTACAGAGGTAGATGACACAGAATTCTTCAATCTTTTATCATCTAAGAGGCAAGCATCATCGCGAGTTTCATCTTCATCATCAGAGTAATCAACTGTGCAGGTTCTATCATTAGCAAATTTATCACAAAATGAGACACTATAGGTGGCTAAGACATTGGAGGAGGCTTGATTGATAGAATGATGCGCTGGAGATATTTGTTCCATATTTATAAAATTGACTAATAACCCTAATGGACCACATGAAGAAGCAGCTGGGAAACCGTTATCTCTTGCTTTAAAGTAACGAAAATGATTCCTGAAATAACATGTTTGGCGACTAAAATTCACGAGCACCGATGATAACAAACTGCCGATGGGAGGAAAAAAATGCGAGACGAGAGATAGGCAGACGTCCAGAAAAAATGTAGAGCAGTGAAATAGTGAAAATTCTTCAGAAAATAACAATATTCTAACCTAATTTCGCGGTGACACGAAACACCGCATCACATCAACCAACAGTAAATAAACACCGGTGCTGCATCATGTGCGGGACCAATGAAAACAGTCCGCGCCATTTATTTTAGCGCCTTATTCAAAAGTTTGGCGCCTTATTCAAAATGACGGACTTTTTTCACACGAGCGCAAATCCACTTTCATCGAGTTTGCATACATATTTATTGATTTTATTGTTTCGCTCATATTTTTAGGATGAAGAATGGTTTATATTCGTGGATCATGATCAAGATTCAACACAAAACACGACAAATATCGCCTATTCCCGTCATTTTTTAGCATTGCCGGCCCATTTCCGGCCCTCTTTTGGGTCGTTTCCGGTCTGCTCCAAGGTCCTCAACCAATCGATAGGTATCTTGAAATATTGATAATTCGATTCTATACACCTTGAGGTTGAATCGGGAAAGAAATTAATGGTTTTTCGTCATTTTTGAGCCGTTACGATCCATTTCCGGTCTGATTTAAGGTCCTCAACTGCGATTGGTGAGAATCTTGGAATTTTAATGATTTTATGATTTTGATACATTTTTATGCTAAACCGGAGAAAATATTTACTTTTGATATCTATACCTTTGGTACTTTTTGAGGTATTTTGTTACAACAAAGGTGTAAAAAATCGTGGATTTTCACTAATTTTTTAATCACTATAGGGACCGATTTGTATCATTATAGGCCTTTAACTGCTCGATGTCATTCGCTAAAAGTATTTTAGTTGAAAGTCTATACCTCAAGCTTGAAGTGGAGATAAAAATGTAAAAATGAGGGATCGTGATGAATGGCCTAAAAATCGGATCTTTTAAAAAATCCGAAATTACGGTCATTTCAATTATGCTTGGCTCAATTTTAATGGCGTATACAGAATTTGCGTAAAAACTTGTTCCATTAGCACTTTTTTAAATATGATAAATCGATATAGAGACAGTATCACAACGAAAAATCGAATAGTGGGAAGTCGAGAAAATGGAATTCGTAAGAACGTGCTCTTTCAAATATAGCTGAAATCAACTCATCTTTGCGGATCGATATCCCCCGAACTGAGCGTCGAAGTGGAAATTCCTGCAAATTATATTTTCTTAGAGAGCTATGTAAAAACCAAAAAGAAAAAACAATTTTGAGCTACATCAGACGGGGTTTCGTTCCGGTCCTGGTTAAGCTGACGTGGGATGACACCTATGGTTATGGTTAGTAGCGTGGCGTAGCGATAGGGTAGTGTTTATATTTAGTTTGAGAATAATTTGAGATCTGCAATTATTATTGAAAAAGTATCAATATGCGCTAAAAATTATTATATTGCGGGTACTTTTATTGATGTTGGTGTTTTCTTCTATTTTAAAAAAAAATGTCTTGGAAGTCAAATAATAATACAGGTATAATAATGCAAGCTATGAGCAATTAATTCTTAACTACAAACTTTTAAATTTAAATTCGTAAATGCTTTGAACCGTCTGAAGGAATGGCGAGGCGTGAATGATCGATTGTCAATATTTCCCCATTTGAAACTGGTAAAGAATCGATCATTAAGGTGTTTGTCATAGGTTTAAATGGTAGATAAATAGATTTATCGTAAAGCACACCACGCCAGTGGTCTGAAGTATATTTTTGCATAATTTAATGATATCTTACAAGAACTTTCCTGATCATTCTAATTTTATGTAATGATAGCATACATTTTGTACTGTGTTTCCAAATTTTGAATTTTGAGTAAATAAGAGAATCTAAAAGCGGGTACCTAGTTCACTTAGCTGCCGATCCTGTCTTGAAGCATCCTGATCCTATGCTTTATAGATGATAATGGAACGATGCAATAGGTGGCTCACCTAAGTATGTCTAACGCGTAACCTCAAAAGTAAATAACCTCCGGAATTTTAACGATGACCCCCGCTTGTAGTTGTTGAAATTACGCTTCTTGTGACTACACTTATTAGAATAAATGGCGAAAGAAATAATGCAGAATCCAGTGGCGTGGCGTGCTTTAATTGCGATGGATCGACTGTTATGCCATTTAAACCTATGGAAAAGGATCGATAAACAGGGTGTTCGCAGCGAACACCTTAATAATCGATTCTTTACCATAGGTTTAAATGGCAGAACAATCGATACATCGCAATTCACGCCACGCCACTGGTAGAATCGTGCTGCTAGAGCCGCGCTCGTATAGCAGAAGCAAACTACCTTGGCTCAATAAAAGTTCCTTCAAATTTTCACTCTGCAATATATCGTACACGCTCGTGTGTAGTAGGAAGTGAGGAACGCGCAACGCATAAAGAAGCATTTAACTTTCACTTAACAACCCTCCCTTTGATTCAGAATGAAGACCATTTTAAATTCGATGGAAATTCTTGAAATGGCTGTAAAAATGGAAGCTAAAATCATCATGATATATTTTAGAGAGACTTTGATTTATTATAGTTATTGTTCACAGATTTCAATAGTGTTTAACAAGGATTCTTAAGACACTAAAATTCCAAAAAGACTCCAGAATACCGAATTGGAAATCATTAAATTTTTTAATAATATAATTTAAATTTTTAAAAGTTTATATTCTATACTTTCCATCCTTATTGTTCTCTCGAAATATTTTTGGGTAGGAATCAAAAAGAGCGTAATCAAAACATAAACCTCAATCGCAAGTTAAGATTTAAAATGACATAAGCCGTTACATGCTCAATTATAGCATGAACAGTGCACATCAGTTGTCCATTAAAGTAATTTGAAGTAAATCTTTGTATGTCTTCTTTCTTTCGAATGTAATTTCTCTTGCTTATGATGTACAGTGTAAAATTCAAAAATTAAGACAAAAGAGAGCTGAAATTTTTTTAGACTTGTCTCTCTCTTCTTCCTCTCTCCCTCCCTATCTCCCCCTCTCCCTCTCCCTCCTTCTTCTTTTCCCCTCACATCTTCTCCTCACTCATCTGGATTTTATAATACATGGTCCCAGGTGAAATAGCCTCTTTTAGAATTACACAATCAAATTTATCAGTCAGAAGAAACAAATAATGATTATATAAACCCAACTTTTTGAACCTGCATGCAAAATTTCCACTTCAAAACAGGAGACATTACATAAAAAGCGTATGAAAGGAGATGGGTGGTAGGGGTTAGAACTTTTTCTATGATGTTCGTGTATTGTGCAATTTTAGTTTTTGAACTTCCCTCCTCCTCCTCCATGAAAATGTGCCTGCAATGCTGCTGGACCCTGTTCAATTTTTGAGGCATTTCATCACCCTTGACGTATCATACTGCATGCAAAGGTCTGCCTTAATAAGGTACGTTGAAAGAAAATGGCCCACGCATGATGGAAACTAACAATGAGGATTTTTTGTGTAGTTGCGGGAAAGGGTTACTAAAGGGCGACTCAACAAGAAAGTCTGGGCGCATGGAAAAGGATTCTACTAAGGGATCCCTCCAGATGCAGTACGCCCCTTGTATGTGGGCACTATTAGAAAAATTTTGAATATAGACGCATCTCAGAGGCTCATTGACTCAGAGACTCCCTACGAGATTTCTAAAAAAGTGCCAAAGGGACCCTACACTGGAAAAAAAAAAAAAAAAAAACACATTGGATCTAGAGTCCAGCCTCTTGAAAACATTGACAAGAAAAAGGACTCTTGATTCAAGCAGATTTAAGCTTAAATCAAAAGGAAATCCGCTCAAATTAAGAGGCTTGGTTCTTGATTTAAGCTTAAATCTGATTGAATCAAGAGTGTTTTTTTCTTGTCGATGTTTTTAAGAGTCTGGACTCTAGATCCAATGTGTTTTTTTTCCAGTGTAAATCTGCCAATAAAAAGGCTCCCTGCGAGACTTTATTGACCAAAAAAGGGTGGTTGTCGCTTAGCCCGCCGACACAGTCAACATTTGCAGCTCCATTAAACGTGAAAATTAGTAAGAATCCAGGAGTAGAATGCGAAAAAAAAAGAAGAAAAAAGTTTTTTTTTGCACTTATAGGTACTATTTACCCAGCCACATACATTAATTTTTCATTTCCATAGTATTCAAAGTCTCCTGTTTTATGAAATACTAGCTGCTTCAGCTCACTTCGCTCGCCTCCGTGAGAGCCCCCGCGCGGGGCCCCGCCCCCTGGACCCCCAATCACTCGCGAAGGGAGGGATTTTGGGACTTTCAAGAGCGGATATTGAAAGTACCGGATTTTTGGTATCATCTGGACATCAACAGCTTTCATTTGCAACAAAAATTAAGGAAATCGGCCCGGCGGTTTCTCAGAATATAGGATCACAAAGTTTCGACCCCTACAGTTTTATGGAGATGTTACATGTGTGAGGAATTTGCGATTTGACTGTCGATTCGTATGTAAAAGTTTACGAGAAACACGATGGTGCCACTGGTTTTCTCTGAAAACATCTTCCAAGCTCAGAAAAAGCTCTCAAGTTGAGACCAAAATGGAGGGGATATCCCGCGCTATCCTGAGAGTCCACCTCTACTTCAAGACAAACTCTCCATGCAAAGATAGGGAGCAAATACATTAGCAGTGATGCCGTGTTTTCAGTTTTAGAGTCCCCAAATGAAGTGGCAGCCCTGTCAATGTATTTGCTCCCAATCTTTGCATGGAGAGTTTGTTTTGATGTAGAGGTGGACTCTCAGGATAGCGCGGGATATCCCCTCCATTT